TAATTGTCTACAAGTCTCAAAACCGAAATATAAAGTAACTAGATGAATAAATACTAATAACTACGTGATCTAACGAAGCAGAACACAAAACACAATAAAGGAGCAAAAGTTAGCTTTTTAGCTAAGTAAGACTCACATAACCCCGTAAAATAATATAATTTGTCAATATAGTCTTTATACATAAAGTATAGTTCGAAAATCAGTGGCTTTTAAAAAATACTTCATGGTCTCAAAAACATTAGTTACACTAGTAAAATCTTAGAGATTTCCAAAGTTGTCATATGTTAGTCAAAATCATTCATAATCAATCCATACTCATAAGCTTTAAAATAATAATATAATACGGAGTAATAAGGTAGTGATTGATTAAAATATTCTTTCGATGAGCCCAATCCATATGGGTCACAGGTTCAAGAGCTCACGAGTTAAATGATGATCCCTAGCTAATACATAATATAACTCAAGAATATAATAATACTTCCTACATTCTTTTTTTAATACAATATTCCCACATTCACGTATGTCAAAACACAACTTTAACCGTCAATATGTGTAATTTTCAATTACAAAAAAGTTTAAAAATCAAATTATGAAAATTTGTAATGAGCCGAATTCAATACCACTTCTCAAAACAAATAATTTGCATACATTACTAAATAAAATATATTTAAAGCAGAGCATGTGAATAGTGTAAAATTAGCAATGGTGCAACTAAAAAACAACGGAAGATAGTACTAAGTTGATTATTTTATTCAATCGAAATTGTTTATTCAGCACACAAAATAAACAATTTCATATATATATATATATATCACCTAGGGAGATTTCCCAAAATAGGAGTAAATGGAGTTTGAAATTCCAAAATAAGACTTATGTTTTTATTCCTGAAATAGGACTAACATGTCAGTATTTACTGTCATCTTGTAGGCGTGACTGTGAAATAGTTACAGTAGAGTGCATTTTATATTCATTTTATTTTCATTTCATTTTCATTTACCCCAGTACCGCAAAGGCTCCCACCTACGGTGGGGTAAGGGGGGGTCGGATGTACGCAGTCTTACCCCTGTACTAAAGCACAGAGAGACTGTTTCCGGATGACCCAAAGTGAAAATCGCGTCCAAAATTGCATGGACTTATTGCTGCTCCATAACAAAGAAGCGCAGACAGTTTAGTGAGCCATTTTGCTTTATATGACATTATTTATTATAATTAATGGCAGTAATTTTCAAACGTGGTAGTATTTTTCATACATAGCAGTAATAACTCCTATTTCGGGAAGAAAAACATAGTAGTCCTATTTTGGAATTTCAAACCTTATTTACTCCTATTTAGGGTAATTTCTCTATCACTTAATATCCACATAGACATCTTAATTAATACATCACTTAACAAAAGAAATAAACAGTCCCTAAAACCACTGTGGAGACATAAAGTAAGTGGAAATGCATTACCTACACGGCTACAATAGGAGTATACATAACTAGAGCCTTGGGAGATTATCAAGAGGTTTGGACCAACGAAAAAAATATGATCAAGAGATTTGATTATTTTCATATTATAGTAAAACTAGCATTTTGACAATACATGTGTAGTGTAAGTTGATATGAAGAAGCATGACATTAAACATCAAAGCAATGACATCAAATGAATACAATTGAACATCAAAGCAATGACATCAACATGAATACAACTTATCGCGTCAATTAACATATTTTTATTAGAACATTGTTGTGCTGAACCACATTACTATAAATTTTGAAACATTTCTTTGTAAACAACATTTATCGTCTCATCTCCCGGGTCATCATTGCTATTTTGAAATAAGTATATATGTCCAAACCACCATGGTTAGCTACTCTAGAAATTGCAATATATAATTAACCATGATAGAAGACATAATAGACCAACGTGGAGGAGTGTTTTTCATTGACTTTAATTTATCACCATAGGATAAAAAGTCTTGGACATTGTCGGAATTCTTTAAACTTTGCAATCTGCGAACAACATTAAATCATAAGACTCTTCGGTATGTTTAAATCTTTCAATCTCATATTTTGAGTTAACTCCATTATTGTACAATCTCCCCACAAGTATAAAAAATTAACGGCTGCATTAACAATTACATGTGTACTCTCTTGATGAATAATAAACAAAACTTCTTGAAAATCTCCATAAAAAATAGTTGTCTTTCAACCAAGTGGCAAACTAAGCCTCTTAGGATTGGTACACTTGAGTATGTCACGTAGAGTTCTATCCAAAGCTTCAAAACAATACTTATGAAACATTATAATAAAATGGTTTTGTGACAACAAGAACTGTGAAAAAAGGAGTTTTGCTTCATTTTTCTCGAAAACTTGTAAGAACTAAAAAATGTTGTGAATTTTTAGTTTTGATTTTCAATTCTTATTTAATTTTCGACTTCATGTAATCTTTCTGTTCCAGGAAATGTTAATAATTTTTACCCAAAAGTGCTACACAGTATCTTTTTAATAATGCTCCTGTTGAGATTTATTCTCCATGATTCAAAGACTCAACACCGTCCTTTTGCTTTAGTAGAAGTCCTTTTAATTGAGTAAAGTTTATCGAGTGTTTAAGGCAACAAAGAAGTAAGAACGAACAAGTAATTAGAGACAAAGTGGATGCAATTCTATTTGAAGTCTATAAAACGATTACAACACTTCTGTCGAGCATCGCTCCAACACTCTAGGCTAAGCTGGATGCTATTAAGAGAACTAGAGAGAAGTCTAATGCTTGAGAATACAAAGTTTCAAATCCTTTAGAATGAAATAAAGTCTGCTATTTATACTACAATGTAGTAGGTGGAGCGCAAATTATACTGTGGGCTCGGCCCACCGTGCACATGGTGTGCCAATCCCAAAACGGTGCCGTTTTGATTAATGAGAACCACTCACCCTCTTCTGGTTTGTAAATTTGTGCCCTAGCAGATTCGATTTGAAGCCAGGAAGAAGCAATCGTCGGAAGTTGTCGCTACTGGATCTCGATTCCTGTTGAGCCGTCCCCTACCAAACTGTATCGTTTTTTTCTCCACACGTTTCTCCGCATATCGACACATCTGGATGCTCAAAGAGAAAGCTATGTTATAAAACATCCAGAAGCCGCCTACCTCTGCTCCCAACCAGTAGATCACCGATCAATCCGGAGCTTGGCCGCCTGACACGACGATGAGGATCTGAACTCCTGGTTCCTAAAGCTGGGATTGAGTTTCTGCATCACGAATAGCCATCCTTCGGGGCTATTGAAAAACGACCCGAAGTCTTGACACATATTAAATGCTTATGGGGATCCAGCCCTGAGTGGATGAACTCCAACCATAAATCTCTCATATCTGGAGTATTAAATGCGCTTCCCGTCAATTGGCAGGTTTTCTGTGAAATGTAGGGGGGAGGGGGGGTCCGGTCTGGATGGTTGCTGGATTCAAAAGAGAAGCCCAATTGAGGGAAGCGGGCCGTTCAGCAATACCCGTGCGGGTATACCGAACATAGATTTCTGTTTGGCTATGTTGTTGATGGCCTCGTATACAAATTGGGTCTTAAGGGATGTTTGGGCCTACGCTGGGCGTGGGCGAGCAGCCCAACAGCTCCACTTTATGAACATGTAATTAAAAACTCGTTTGGTGACCTCTTCTTGTCTTATAAGCCTTATTAATCAGCACTTTATCTTTTTATATCAAACACATAACTTTTGATTTCCGCATTGAGTTGTCTAACAAACAAAATAAATAAGATTAAAATTACTTTTTTCACCGAATCAGTGTAATTGCTAAAGAGAATAATTTTAGCTTTTTTTTCATACTCCGCCCCATAGAAAGGTTCTCATTTTTTTGAATGCCCCATATAAAGGTCCTCATTTCCATTTTAGGAAACAATTAACAATCTTAAATGAAAAATTAATCATTAAATATTAAAAATAATACATTTATAACATCACAGTTATCAACACTAACCTCATTATATTATATAGCTATTAATTTTTTTTTCTTAAGATATATTCAAATTACCTTATTTAATTATTGTCAAAATAATCGTGTCGTTTTGGCATGAGAATCTTTCAACGGGACGGAACATCACGGAGGAAGTAGTATTTACTACTCCCTCCGTCCCGGAAAATTAGTCTCACTTTGACTTGGATCGGAGTTTAAGAAAGTGGGAATAAAGTGGAAATGTATGGTTGTGGTTGAGTAAGAAAAAGGTAAATGAATGTTAGCCACACAAAACTTTTCAAAAAGGGAAATGAGAACAATTTTTTGGGACGACCCAAAAAGGAAAATGAGACTTATTTTATGGGACGGAAGGAGTATTTTTCTAGGAAATATATTTTAAATATTTTTTTTTTTTAATTCAGCCAACTCATTTCTAAAATCCAACCGTTTCTACAAATTATAATTCTACTAAAGGGATTTTCTCACTTCACTTTATTTCTTAATAACATGACAAACTAACCGTCAAACAAGTGAGATCCAGTGGAAGTCCTTCCCTCTCAACCAAACAAATTAACACAGTCCAGCCCATAAATGTTGCATCAGAAAGCCCTGGTCAAAGGGCAAAATGCGAAGAGAGGAACCCACCGTCCTTGACATTACCCCTCTATTCCATCACTGAACAGAGAGGCAGAAGGTACTCAAGTAGCAGACATCACTTCTTCCCACTAAAAATCACAAACCACATTTCATAAATCCATTTCACGTCCACTATGTCAAGATTCCCATGTCTATTGGCGGGCACATCCTTTTTACTGCCCTTTCCCGCTTCATTTGTTCCCGAAAGTTACTGTCTTTTATTCTCTGTTTTTCTTTTTCATCCATCTTAAAGTTATTAAAACATGAAAAATGAAATATTTGACATGTGGAAAGAGAAAATACGTATCTAAATGAGTCAGAATCAAATATCTCATTTAACATAATGAAAAACCTAACAATAATTACAAATTGAAGGAATAAGACAATGAAGTAGCACATGATTTGTGTGTACTGCAATGGGCATTTCCAAAAGCTGTCTCTTACCCTCTTTTACTCCATCTTTTTTGTTTAACAATAAACACAAGTGCGGGCGTGTAGCAAGTGTTTAAATCATCCACTTTTATGGGATTCTAGGCATTTTCTCACTTCACTGCCGACAGAAAGACTTGGGCTTGCACACATGAACATCAAGGCAAAGTAATTTCCCCTCTCATTCTATTTTATGACTGTTTCAGTGGTGGCTTGAGTGCTGGTTAGGGATTCCCCACCTTTCACGGCATGTATCTCTGTTTAAAGGGTATCAAAAATTTACTAGCTTTTAGTTACTAGTTGCTGCAAAGGTTGAATCTTTGAGAGGGAAATGTGTTTAGTTTACTTTTTATTTGCTTGTTACTTCTCTCAGCTCGATTTGTTGCTTGGGTACCTTTCTATATTGTGAGCTTGGGTGAGTTATGAACTCTAAAGAATTAGCCCATTTGGATTTCCTTGCGTTTCTACATTGAAAGCTCGAGATATACTGAGGAGTGGGGGTTAGGATGAAGCTTATTAGGGTTTTATTAATGGCTACCCTTCATTTTGCCCTTTCACTGGGGCAGCTTCCTTCCCAGGACATTTTGGCACTACTCGAGTTCAAGAAAGGGATAAAGCATGACCCAACAGGTTATGTGATTCAATCATGGAATTTAGAGTCCATTGACACCAATGGCTGCCCTTCTTCTTGGAATGGCATAATGTGTGATGGTGTTGGTAATGTTGCAGCTCTTGTGCTTGACAACCTGGGCTTGTCTGCAGATGATGTTGATTTAAGTGTGCTTTCTAACCTCACTATGCTTGTCAAGCTCTCATTGTCAAACAATTCAATTTCTGGGAAATTGCCTTGCAACATTGCAGACTTCAAAAACCTTGAGTATCTTGATCTTTCTGACAATCTGTTTTCCTCCCATTTGCCACCACAAATTGGACAGTTAGGGAGTTTGAAAAATTTATCTATAGCCGGAAATAATTTATCAGGTTCCCTTTCAGATATTACCCTTTCGGGGCTAACCTCAATAAAGTCATTGGATTTAAGCCGTAATTCCTTCTCTGGGGTCCTACCATCTTCTTTGACCAAGCTAAGAGGTCTGGTTTATCTTAATCTATCCAAGAATGGGTTCACTGGAAATATTCCTAAAGGATTTGAGAATCTGGAAAATCTTGAGGTTCTTGATTTGCATGGTAATGTGCTTGGTGGTGAATTAGATTCAATGCTATTGCTGCTTACCACTGCAAGTCATGTTGATCTCAGTGGGAATATGCTTGTGACTTCTGCTGCTTCTCATAAATTTCTGCCTAATGGCATTTCAGAAAGCGTTCAGTATTTGAATCTGAGTGGTAATCAGCTTAGTGGATCAATTATGAGTGGGGATGAAGCGGAAATGTTTGGGAACTTGAAGGTTCTTGATTTGAGCTTCAATCAGCTCTCTGGGGAATTGCCTGGCTTCCATTTTGTTTATGATCTTCAGGTTCTTAAACTTGGCAACAATAGGTTCTCTGGATTCATCCCCAGTGATCTCCTAAAAGGAGACACGTTGGTACTAACAGAGTTGGATTTAAGTGCCAATAAACTCACAGGTAAATTTTTAACTCAGCAGATAAATTTCCACTAAGATCTAATTCAGTCATACGAGCAGTATTAATTCTATTTTCTTGCTCAGTTATGTTTTTTTTTGCACTATAATGATATTCTATTTTCTTGCTAGCTATTTTTTTTATGCATTATAATGAGTTCTATTTTCTTGCTCAGTTATGTTTTTTTACATTATACTGAAATTTTATTTCTTTGAGATTGTTGCAATTCCTCAAAATCTTTTCGGAATAAGGCTTGTATGTTGTTGAGATTGCTGCATTGTTAATAGTCCCAGAATAGACTATTTTAGGTTATTAATATCCGTTAACTTAGGTTTTTTCAGAGAGATCAATAAAAGTAGTAGGTGATAATAATTAAGTAGAAAAAGCATGAAAGGGAGGGAGAAAAAAGTAGAAAAGGTAAGAAAAATCAGAAGAAAAAGTTGGAAAGAGTAGAAGAAAAAGTGGCTAAAATGAGAGAAAAAGTATGGTAAAAGTTTTCAAATGTGGAAATGCATGAAAAGAGGACAAATAGTTAAAGATATTTAAAAAAATTACTAAAATAAGTTTATTTACAAAAATATGATTAAAGTTACTCTGGAAAGTGTCATGGTCATTTAAGTGTGAAAATTGAACATAAATTATTATGACTAAAGTTACTATCATAGTTAATATACTTAATATGTCAATTTTTGAAAACAATTTTTATTTTAGTCATAAATATGTAATAATTTTTCGTCATAACAAAACTTCCAAAAAAAGAATAAGTGATAACTGATAAGTATGAAAGAATGCAGAAAATATTATTTTTTATAATTTAAATCTACTCTAAAAATAATATCATTTACCCACTTTTAGTAGATAGAAAAATAGAGATGCGCTAGTCCGCAGACCTCTGTCTGTATCATGTATGGTTTTTACAGAGTTTTAAGAGTAAAATAGTAAAGCTGTAAAGGTATTGAATAATGTAAAGAGATGAAGTATGAAAAATAAGATGTAAAAGAAAAAACAAGGGTATTTATGTGGGTTTAATGCACCAAATCCCCCTTGTTATACGGAGTAAAATTATTGTGCATTAGTCACTCACGACTTAAATGTGTGTCAAACTCATTTGTGTTATAATAAATCATGCACACAAGACCCCAAACGAACAAATTTAACTTTTAAATTAAACAAATTTTCAGTATTTTTTGTATAGTTTAGGAATCTTGACAAATTTATGTGCATGTTTAATCATAATTCATTACAACACATGGGGATTCGACATAGTTTTTAAACCACGACGGGTTATTGCGGAGAATTTATATACAACAATAGGGTTTGGTGCATTAACCTGTATCTATGTATTTGTCGATGAAAGCTTACCAAAATAACAAAGTGTTGTACGTGATGAAGTACTCCGTATTTCTGAAGAAAAGTAATATGTTGTAAATAAATAAATATGAAGGAAGTATATTTTACAATATTTTACAATACTAATCTTACTTGTTTTTTAAGCTTAAAACACTCTTGGCATGTATTATTTTATATTATTTAGAAAAGCACTTCATTTTAGAAGCAAACGATGTTTCATACTGCAAAAGGAAATCATCTTCGCAAATGATTAGATCATAAAGTGTGCTTTTACAAAAAAATTGAAAAGCGAACACCCAATAACCTTACCTGCAGGGAATCTGGCATAAAACTTCTTCACATTGATTTTCTTGGTTTTGCATGAATTCATATTGTAAACTAATGTATTAAACTATTTACAATCTTATCAAATCTATTTCCATTTCATTTAATCTTTTTGTTTGTATTGTGCAGGGACTGTAAACACGATAACCTCAACCGCGTTGCGAGTCCTTAACCTATCCTCAAATTCACTCTCCGGTGAGCTTCCATCAGCAACAGGAAGTTGTACAGTTCTTGATCTCTCAAAAAACCGGTTCGAAGGAAACCTAAGCAGAATGCACAGATGGGGAGACATTGAACTACTCGATCTCAGCCGGAACCGATTGACCGGACCCATCCCTGAAATCACACCCCAATTCCTCCGTTTAAATTACCTAAACCTCTCTGGCAACAACTTGTCCGGTTCTCTCCCAAAACTTCTCTCCCAGTTCCCTAAACTTACAGTCCTCGACCTAAGCTTCAACCGGTTCGACGGACCTTTTCTAACTGCTCTTCTTACGCTATCGCCTTCCCTCAAAGAACTTTACCTGCAGTGCAATGCCTTATCTGGAGCCATTGATTCATTCTCTCCTCCTCTATCTTACAACACTTCAAATCTTCATGTTCTTGATGTATCTTATAATCAGCTTTCGGGCCCGTTTCCGGGTGGATTCGGATCGTTGGTTGGGCTTCAAGTGGTTGACATGGCGGGAAATAGATTTTCTGGTTCTCTACCAATATCTGTTGGTAATATAACCACTCTAAGCTTCCTTGATCTCTCACATAACCATTTTACCGGTCCATTGCCAAACAATCTGCCAAAGAGCAGCCTTCAGATCTTTAATGCATCATACAATGATTTCTCTGGGCTTATACCGGAAAGTTTGATGAGTTTTCCGAAGTCGTCTTTCTACCCCGGCAATTCAGGGCTAGAGTTTCCAAATGCAAGCAACATCCAAATGGGGAATTGCAAAAGGAAAAATCTGAGAACATTCATGAATGTCGTGATAATAGTTTCTTGTGTCTTGGCAGTAGCTATCTTGATCTCTCTTAGCGTTTTTGTTTACTACATGCACAAATCCAGATCACGAACCGTTTCCAACCCGTCAGGCCTTTTTAACAGAAGGGACGGTAATTTAGTAATTTCCGCAGAAGATCTTATGAACTCACGAGTGGGAGAATCATTGGAACCCGAAAAGAAAGTGGGGGTTGCCATAGCTGCAAGCTTCTCGCCTGCTAAAACCAGCCATCTCTCTTGGTCATCGGAATCTCCAGATCAGCTGCCCGGTGAGCTCTACTTTTTAGATGATACCGTATCATTTGCCCCTCAGGAACTATCAAAGGCCCCGGCTGAGGTTTTGGGCAGAAGCAGCCATGGAACATCCTATAAGGCAACCTTGGAGTGTGGCATGGTTTTGACTGTTAAGTGGTTGAGGGAAGGAGTGGCAAAAGAGAAGAAGGATTTTGCAAAGGAGGCTAAGAAGTTTGTTAATATTAGACATCCGAATGTGGCGGGACTAAGAGGATACTACTGGGGACCCACACTGCATGAGAAGCTTATTCTTTCTGATTACATATCTCCTGGAAGCTTAGCATGTTTCCTCTATGGTAAGCACCATGCTCTGCTTTATTATATAGGTGTTCTCATTTCAGTCATTTTAATGTCTTTGCATTATTACCTATGCATGCATATCGTTAAGTTTTAACATTAGAGTTCCTAAAAGAATATCATTGAGTTTCATGGATGGTAAAAAACCTTGTACATGTATTTCATTGATGAACTTTAGAATCAATGGCTTGGATATCCCAACCCTACGTCCCCACTTGGCAGCCTTAACCCTTGGCTGCCCGGTGAGCACCTGTTTGAGAATCATTTTGGGAATTAGTAGAATAATCAAAATGCTCAGAATAAATTAACCCTTGGCTTAGTCATTTGGCTGAATATGATTTACCAAACAAGCTTAATTCAATTTGTGCCCTCTAATTATTATATCAATGGCAATTTTGGTACTCCTGTTTGAGTTTTATCACTGTTAGTTTACTTACTATTGTAATACAGACACAGCTTTATTTTTTTTAACCTTTAATCCTCTAATTAGTGTGCAACGCACTTTTAGTACTTCAACCATGCGAACACCACAAAGTAATTTGAGGCTCACATGTGTGTCACTGTCACAATAGTTTGACCAAATCTTGTACCACTGTAATAGTTAGAGGATCAAATATAGAAAAATTCAAATAGAGATACTAAAAGTTCATTCACAATGGTAAAAGGACTACAAGTGGAAATAATTGTTTACCAAGCACTTTTCTTTTTAGCCATTTCAGCAAAAGAATCCTTACCAAAAGGGCCCTAATTCCATACAGACTTCGCAATCTTAACTTATACTTTTGATTGTTCTCTGCAGACCGAGCGGGAAGAACAGGTGTATTAACGTGGCCTCAAAGGCTCAAGATAGCTGTTGATGTTTCGCGGGGTCTAAACTATCTCCATTTGGATCGCGAGTTTCCACACGGAAATCTCAAAGCAAGCAATGTAATGTTGGATGGTCAGGATCTCAATGCACGCATTGCAGATTACGGTCTACACCTCCTAATGACCCAAGCAGGCACAACCCAACAGATCCTTGACGCTGGGGCCTTGGGGTACCTCTCACCAGAGTTGGCTGCCCAAAAGAAGCCAATGCCGTCCTTCAAATCAGACGTATACGCTCTTGGAGTGATCTTGTTGGAGCTCTTGACGGGGAAATGTGCAGGTGAGAGTGGTGTGATGGTGTCGGATGGTGGGGCCAGTTTGACAGATTGGGTAGAGTCCAAGGTGGGTGAGGGTCGTGGTTCCGATTGCTATGATGCGCTGTTGTTGCCTGAAATGGGGAACCCGTTGACAGAGAAGCAAATGAAGGAGGTGATGAAAGTAGGAGTGAGGTGCATATGCTCCTCATCTGGAAGGAGGCCGGATATCAAAACTGTATATGAGGATCTGTCTTCTATATAGTTTTATATGTTCTCTTTTTAGTACTCTCTGAACATGTATTTTAGCACTGATGAGCTGCTGCTTTTTGTTAAGTTTTGTAGTTGTGAGTTGGAATAAGCTGCGATTTGTAAAAAGCTATTCCAGCCTATTTAATTGAGCAGCTTTGACTTCCATCCGTTCTAATTTGATCTTCTTCAAAACTTTATGCATTTTTAGCCAATAAAATAGTTTTGTTGAGATTTGTTTAGGAAAGAAAGAGTTGAGAGAAACCGCACAAATTTTTCATCTAGCATGCAAACAACTTTATAGAATGGTCCAGAAAGAATAATGATCAGAACATTTTGGGACAAACTTCAGTTAAGCATTACATTTGAAGCAAATATGTGAAATGAAACTTCTTAGTCTCTTGGGGCATCCAAAATGCCAGAGTTAATTAGATTACCTATTTACAGTTTACACAAGCAATTACTATATATACTTCAAGAGTGTTAGGTTGATAAATTATCAAGGTAAAGGTAAGAGCAGTCTTACCAAACTCCCATTTTTACTTCATGCTCTCTATTATAACCGTCACTCTTTGGATAAAGTGAATCCCCCCACCCCCCCCCCCCCCCCCCCCCTCTCTATCTCTCTGTCGTAGTCTAATAAAAGGATTTTTATTGACCAAGTCTAATAAAAGGATGGAGTACATGAAATAAAGCAGACTTAGAAGGTGTTTGGATTCATTTCCTAAAAATGCTTCTGCCCTTCAGGGTGCATAAACAGATATTGGAGCGTGAGTGAAAATGCAGAAGTACTTCTAAGGGCTCCAAAATGCTCTTAGAAGCAGTTTTTTAGTAGTTGGTTCCAATTCAAATATTTTTAAACAAGAAGCAAAAGTAGAATCAATTACAAATACCCCTTAGATAGATGCATCCCCATCTTTGAGGATTTCAAACTAGGTGAGAATAAGGGAAAATCATACTATATCATCCTTGAGGGTAGAGGTGAGCATCGGACATTAGGGAACAACTCAATTCAATACGGTCCTAAAACGATTCTCACTTAAGAACCGGCACCATATCATATTATTAGAAAAATTTGATTCAGTCCGGTATTATATTTTTCTGATTCTTTCGGTTCTAGTACAATTCAGGACAGTTCTTTAGTACTAAATGGGAAATCCAGGATCCGCGCTCAACCCTACTCTAGAGTTTCTTCAATTGCTACTGCTTTATTTAATTATTTTCCATTTGTTAACTAACTTATTTTATTGATACGATATCAGATGCTCTTGGATTGGAGTCACAAATTAGAGAAATGATAAAACAAAGGATATATCTCGATAACTCAATGTAAAATCATCATCATCGTCATAACTTGCTTCGTTACTTTGCTTCGTTGAATCATCATCTCGATAACTCAAGGATATATTTCGCATTTTCGTGTACATGTCATATCTCGATACTTATTTTTTTCAATCGTCATAACGTCCTTTAGTAAATACTTAAAGGACAAAAAACTACAAATATCATACTTGTGGGGATGATTCTTTATATTTTCACACATTTTTATGTACTCGGTATATATTTTTATACATGAAAAAGCGCCACAGTTTTAAAAGCACATTATTTAAAGGGCTAATTGGTAATAAAAACATAGTCAAGTGACGAAGTAATAAATCAACTCAGCCAATCATGCACCAATTTGAGACTTGAGAGATTAACCATGCATTACAAAAATGAAATCAGTGCTAAGCTGTAAATATTCTTTCTTCTTAAGTATGAGTTCCATATATGTTGGTGGAAGAATTAAATTGTGAATGACTTGCTTGAACATTTTGTCTCATAATGACTTGCATTAAAGTCAATATTGCACGCTATGATTAGAAGTGAAACAGTTACAATATCACAGACTCAATAAGAAATCTGGAGAGACTAAACTAGAGGGGTTTGAACTTTAGTTGATTGGGTAAAGAAGGGTACTGAATAATTTAGTGTCACACGAAAGCATTGCTATTTCAAGAAGAATGCCAGAAAAGTGGATTCATTATGAAACATGACTCTTTTTATATTAAAAAGGTCTGAAAACCTTGCTCTTTCTTTTTTTTATACAAGGGAAAGAACCTGACTTCTTTTTCTAGATGTTCGGGTTAATATAAATATTGTATACAAAAAAAACACCCAAATATACTAAAGGAAAACACAAACATGAAAACTCCCAAGATGTCTATTATTGTGTTTACCCGCACCGCCGCACGGATACTCTAACTGGTAAAACGGTGTGAAAGTTTGGATCCTGACCGGATCAAAACCCGCAGCGCCCAAGTGTTGTATGCCGACTGAGCCTATAGTGCACATGAATATAAGGTCTACCACCATGAGTCCATGATAGGGACATGGACAGCCACTAATAATAAGAATAATACAGTATTATTAAATAGGGTGTTATTGTATAAATAAGTGTTCTAGGCCATGTAATTCAGGAAGTATGGGCTGGCAGGTAAGAATAGAAATGATATAAAAGGGGGGAAGAAGGGAGGAATAGAGGTAGGCAGAAATTGGGCTAGAATAGGACTGGGAGAGGAGACTGCTCAAGTGTCTCATGTATTTTCCTTCTCGTTGATTGTTTCTTCTCTAATATACACAAATTTACCGTACGAATTTGGAGTTTCTATCACACCATCAGGACTTATTGATTCACTGTGATTTACCATCTCATATGCTTTATCAGTCATGACTTGGGGAGCCCTTGAGGTTAGAGATACAACCTTTTGGACAATGAAAACTCCCAAGAGATTGTAACCAGTGTTTGAGCAATGCCGTGTGAACTCTTTCACACATTATTAGAGATCAGATCCTCCTAAAATAGTATAATGAGTGGGTCTCAGACTCTCAGGTCATGCTTTGTTAACCCATGACATTAGCATTTGTCAATAACAGAAAACCATGAAATGCTACCTAATGGAGACCGGAAATTTAATATGGAGTGTATGCTATTTAATGGAGGCTTTTGTAAGTTGGACATTACTACATCAGAAGTTGGATGTTCAAGACACTAACAGCACGACCACAACTTGAATGACTAAAAAAGGAATGCTTTTTTTAACTAGCATCTTTTCTTTTTTAGTCTATATAATTATTCTTCAAATGAAAGAATTTTGTGGTAGATATTAATTCTTTCATTTAAAAAGAAAAAATATATCCTCATAGTTTTATAGTAATAAACTGGGTGCGAAGTCAGACACCGCAAATCAAAGCATTTAAGCAAATAGGGATGGAGGAGCATAAGGAATGAGAGCTGGTAAATGTTTTTGACAGGCTGGACAGTTATTTTTTATGCAGACTCAATCACTCAAATGCTCTTAATTAATTGAAGGGAAGGGAAAAAAGTAACTTGAAACTGCTCAAAAATTGCCTGGCTCCACATATAAAGCAGATATCCCAAGACCAGATATCATATCTCCTCCTTGATGATGGCAGGTTGATTAGACAGCCGTTTAGATTTGCGTCTGTTGTCAAATGATCGTTTGGGTTTGGGCATCTCTGTTGTCAATGCATACATCTTTACAGCAAATAATTCAACAGGGAACCCCTTTTGATCCTGAAATAAATCGATTTTATACAAATCAGCTAATCAGGTATTATTAACCTCTACTTCTAAATAGAAACTCCCATTTATTAAAAGTGTATAAGAAAATGACTTTTCTTGTTATTGTATAATTTAGAACTTTTCCAGTTAAATAAATGGGCGATATTGTTTAAAAAGAAAAAAGAATTTGTCTACTTTTCAGTTATTGTATATTGTTTCATAATAAGTGCATAAACGCTCCACAAGTTTGAAAATTTGTCTACTTGTTCATGTTGAACTTTAAAAAATATACATGTTTCATGACTTTCCCTAGGTGTAGCACAGTAATACACATGGTTGCACCTAATATAAATTTACAAATTTATATAACACATGAATCTTTTCTGGCAACTCTGCCTATAGGAGATGTACGGCATAATGCCAGAAAAGATTCATGTGTTATACTAGTATGATTTTCAAATGGCACAAATACATGGAGTGTCATAAATCTTCTGAGCATACCTTCATCTTGTAAATATAAAGTCCGCATTGATTGAAGAGCTCCTTGAAATAGTTATCCGACCTGGTGATACTCTTATCTGTGTTGTCCAATACGAAGCCTGGAAGTGAGAAGCCCAGTTAGTAGAATGCAGTAAGTTTGCAATCTTCCTTTTACATTATCAATGGTTTAATACAAAATTATTACCTCACTCCTAAAACAGTCATATTTGACCCAGGTTAAAGTGTAAAACTAATAAATTTTGGACACAAAATATTGTTATGATCATCAATTCTACTTATATTTTAGAAAATTATTTGTTTGCGACTTTTTGTTGCCAATCACTATATAACTTGTTTGCGACTTTTTTGCGACTTTTTGTTGCCAATCACTATAAAATTTGGTTTCGTTTGATCAGAGGACTTTTTTGTCAAATTAGAAAGAAAGATTTTGAATCTGGTCTCTTTTTGGGGCGGAGGAAGTCACAAAATTAAAGAGTAATAGTTTTTGTTTCATGGTAAAACTTATATTGCATTAAATGGGTATGATGTAGAGGAAATGGTAATTGGTAAAGTGCCAAAGCTGCTTTCCTTTTAATTACACTCAGCAGGAACCACAAAAAGATATCCAAGACACAAACACAGAGGTGATTATATATATGATGAAATCATCCATGATCCATGTCATGAAAATAAATTAACAGATATGAAGAAGAAAACCACATTCTTTCGTTCCAAACACTACTTTAGCAAATGAGCTGGTGCATGATGCAATGTATTTTCTGGGCATCATGAACATGGAATGAAGCATGTAATAGAAACTGTACATAAAGTGCCCACTACCGGACCAAGAATGCATTACCTGGAATACCGATTTACTCACAAACAAAAGCTTGAATAACTAGTTACAAAAGATAGGTGAGAAAGAAAGCAAGGGTTCAAGATTGCTACCTCTTTTCGCAATGTTTTCCTTCAATACAAAAAGACCACCAGGTTTAAGCCCAATCTGAAAGAAACATCAGCAAGCATATATTTTATCAGTAAAACTCAGTTTTCATTTACAAAGACCACAAGTTGATCTTTTCATGGAAAAGCATAACATACAATGTCATCTCGAGGTCTTCTTTAACAATTACGGAGTACTACCTCCGTCCCAAAATGATGGTCCTGTATTTCTTTTTTGGGATGTCCCAAAATGATGGTCTTGTTTCCCTTTTTGGAAAGCATATCATTTCACTTTATTATACTCAAATCTCAACCACAACTTTTACCTTTTCAACCACTTTATTAAAACTTGTGCCCAAAAGAAATGAGACCATCAAATTGGGACGGAGGGAGTAATATATATATGTATATATGACTCATTGATATGACAATTTAATGGAAAATCAGATTATAATGATTATGGGGTAAGGCTGGAACAAACAAACAAAAACAAAAAACCACTGAAAATGAAAAGTAGATTCTTGAAATGAAGGCTTAGTTTGGTAGACATGAACATGCCAAAATGGAACAAATTTGAGTTTTCTTTTGCATGATGGTGATAGGAACTGCAGTGCTAGGAATGGTCAAGGCACTAGGGATTATATATCAAAGATATTATAAAAAATTAGTTTCCTCAAATATATAATATAAAAATAAGATTTGTTTGTTTGGTGCTCATAGTATTTTAAAGAATCTTAAAGGGAGCCTAGTTCAATTCCATTGGGTATAAATTTTCTCCCACTTTAAAACTTCTCATGCTTGTGTGTCAAGTTCTCAACAGGACGAGCCAACATTAGGGGTGTCAGCGGGTCGGATTTATACCGGGGGAAGACTCATCCACCCGTTAATTTTTCATAATCCACCCACCCGTCCATCATCCATTAAAAATTACATCCAACCCACCCATCATGAACGGGTTATCGGGTGGATCAGGTGAGTAACGGGTGAATATATATGTCTAACTTGAAAGACAAAATAAATAATTATAAAGATAAATCATGACAATTAAAAACCAAAAATTAAGATTCATTGAAGGGAAAAGTAGCAAATAAACCCTCGAACTAACTTAAAAAGTGCAAATCACCCCATTTATAGGAGGTTCTGTCCGGCCGTCGTCATTTGGGGTGGTTCCCGGAGGCATTTTTTGATGAATTTTTTTGAGCATTTTCTTCGTTAAGTCTAGTTTACTCACACCAAATTTCAGCTAAACATTCAACCAGGAAGGTAGTCAAATGATTGTGAAATATACTGTGTTGTTTAACTGCGCAGTTATCTTCAAAATTTTATTTGACTGCCTTCCCGATTGAATTTTTAGCTGAAATTTTGTATGGGTAAACTAGACTTAATAAAAAAGATGCTCAAAAAATTTCATCAAACAATTCCACCGGAAACATACCCAAATGGCGACGTCTGGACAAAGCCTCCTATAAAAGGGGTGATTTGCACTTTTAAGTTAGTTCGAGGGCTTATTTGCTACTTTTCCCTTCATTGAATAATAACAACAAAAACTTGAACAATTAAGTATATTACAATCACTAATTCACTGCCAATAAAGAAATAAACGATTGTCAAACAAAATAGACATAAAGCTTCTTCAAGCTTTCAAATTCTACATTTCTGCATCGGCACAAAACTATATTTGTAGGTCAACTGTCATTTCTCAAAACTCTTCAATTGTCTTTATTTCACCAATTCACAGATATGTGTCTTTTCCATTAACAAATACATATATATTAATGTATTAATATTAATTATTATATATACATTTATATGCGGGTTAGCGAGTGGATGAATGGAGCGGGTGATGGGTCGGGTGATGGGTTGGATGAGTGTTCATCCACACCCGATCCAACTCGTCTTTCAATCCACCCGTCATCCATTTTTCATCCATAATTTTTCGGGTTTTTGCCCATATTTTTGGTTCGGGTTGATCGGGTATCCGCGGGTGCGGGTGATATTGCCAGCCCTTGACAACATCGGGCACATCGCTTCCCAATGAATCACCATCTTTACGCCACCGAGTCAAGTGAAATTTTATCTGTTTGCTCTAACCGGAACGGCTATAAAAGTGGTTTCCGGTTGGGCTGACTAGTCCAGGACGAGGTCAATAAGACTGCTTCTTATCCTTAAGGAGTGTACTACCTGTTCCATGAGAAATTCTAAATTGGGATTGAATGATATGAAGCCTATCTTTTCACTAACATTTATCTGCATTACACTCTCTATTGAATCTGATTCATTTCCTCCCCTTCTCCTAAACCATCACTCCACCTCATACAACCCAACAGCTTCAATGTGGCTAAGATGCACAAGAATAGTATTTAAAATACAATTCAAAACCAATATAAGGGGCTAAAAAGGAAATGGATTTTTGAATCCATATTCTATCAGAAAACTACATAACTTCCCATTGTGCTTTTATCATAAACAGAGCAAGCATTCATAAGAAATTAAGGATCAGCTTGATTTACGCTAGTCATATGATCTCCTTACCCTTGCTCTCTTGAAAAATGCAATGAAGTCATCATCAGCAAGTTGGTTAATACACCACTGAACCCATATAACATCATATCTTCCTGCCTCAGGAGTGAAGTCCTAAACGAAGCAAATATAGAAGGTAAACAATTAGCAAATCACCAAAACATAAAAATCCTAATATCATGTCAAACTCAAGTAGCCAGAAACAAATTCTTAGCTGATATACGCAAAACTATATAAAAGTTGATATTATCAGTTTGTCCTAGAATCAGGTGTTAAAAAATCAAGAAAATACTAAGGGACCATTACCATGCAAATAAAACCATATAAATGAAACTGCGACAACAACATCCATGCCTTAATCCCGTAGGAGTTTGGGGTCGTCTAACATGAACCGTCATACGACATTGGAGTTAAAAAGAGAGAAAAAGGGAGACAAACAATCCTCCACATGTATACTCTTCTTCCACTTCGCTCTCTCCAAAGTCATACTCACATCCAACCCAAGACGTATTATATCATTCAAAATCATACTAATGTAACTACATGTGGAAAAAACATTTGAACTCAGCAGCACTTCTCTACCATCATCATCATCATCATTACCCCAGTGCCGCAAAGGCTTCCACCTACGTGAGGTAAGGGGGGGTCGGATGTACGCAATCTTACCCCTGTACTAAAGCACAGAGAGACTGTTTCCGAATGACCCATAGTGAAAATCGCGTCGAATATTGCATAGGCTGACTGTTACTTCAATACTTCATAACAAAGAAGCGCAGACAGTTTAGTGAGCCATTTTTCTTTATTCCATCATATTCCCAAGCCAAAAAATAGTTAATCTTTGTATAAATTTTAGGTTTGAATTTTGTAATCATTTCGTATTTTTTGTGCATGCAACTATTCTTCCACAATCAACAAATGTCGATTATACTATACATTTTGAAAAGATTGTTAACGAACTAAGTACCCCAAAACTAGTAATGACGTGGGTATAAGAATTCATGTATCCAGATCGGCAGATCAAAGTCAAACCTTAAACTTCAGATAGGATTATATAGTTGATTGCAGACTGTTGTCTTGCTTAAGCAAGGAAAACTAGTTTTTGTTTGCTAAATCTGACCGATCAAAATATCAGTTTCTTAACCATAAGTGTATTGATGTGTTAGCTTCTATGAAATTATGCTGTAAGAAAAGGATGAGGAAAAAATATTTGTTATATTGTGTAGTAGCTTCTTTTTCTTTCATTCAATTTAGAATGACTTGAAACCTGAAACTAAAAATGAAAAAAAATATAAGGACAATATTTATACAAAACCTGAAGTGGAACACAGAAAAAATTGGCAACTCGGTTCATCCCAGGCGCAGTTAAATTTTCAGGAGCCAAACTCACACGAGCAGCCTCCAAAAAATGTGGCACAGGCTCAAGGAGGTCAACCTGGATCCAAGAATACTCATATTAAAGTGGACAAAATGAATTAATCTTCAGCAGGAGATTTCTTGCAAACATGCGAACCAGAGTAGTGTCTTAGCATACATCACATTGAAATAATAGTGTCACTTCTTCATTATTAACCATATGGTAAAATTGTGCGACTTATAGTATTATCAACATGTGTGATTTGACTTTGGTAGTCTTTAGTGGGAAGTAAAATGTGAAACAAAGTTCAGATGTTCAACAACTATCATTTGTAAACAATAGCCTCTCAAAAAGCATAAAAAGAATAAGTTAAAGGGTATTGGTTTAAGTGGTTGGTGATGAAAATTAAGAATAAACGTGTTAGGAAACTTATTTACAGTATTTGTGATTTGATCTGTGAGAACCTTATCCTAAAGGCAGCATCTATATGCTCACACTACACTCCAGAATAAAAAAGTTACACCGCAGCTGTCTCCCCATGTTAGTACCTCAGGACTCAGGAGTAACATTTGCAGAATGCTATAATATCATCCTGGTTGACATGATGAAAATCCTATCACATTGGTTAGTACTTCTGAAAATTAACAATTTTTCAATATTTAAACATTAACTTTTTAATAATACAGGTTTAACTATTTAAACGCTTAAAATATTCAACAATACATATTTAAATAGTTAAACAAACTTGTGAAAATTTAATAAGGCCATTTGTGAAAAGGCTTCCTTTAGCGTGGTGAATATTATTAGTTTCTCTGTCTAAATAAATCTCAAATGAAAAAAACCAATTTTTTTATCAACTCACATGCCAAAAACAAATGGGAACTTGGGAAGATTTTTATCGGATTGTGGAAGTAGTAGTTATTCAAACTTTAAGAAGAACAAGTAAGACAATATGAGATTGGCATGCCAAAGAACTGAAAGAAGAGTAACGCTATTCAAACAATCAATCATCTTTTGAACTCTATGTTAGATTCTAAAACCCCACTTGAACTAGTGTTCATATCAAACTCCCCCAGGGTTCACTCTGTGAATTGAGAAACCAGTAAATGGACTGTTAATGAAGAAACTAACACTACCAGAGTAAGTTCAAATTGCATATTGGTGTTAACTGTCATGTGTTAAGAATACTTTTAGGCTTAATTAAACCCAAAAAGAGTTCTAGAGAGCAAATGATTTCCCTTTGCTGATGAAGGCGCTCATTCAATCAAAGTTAGTCGTTTTGTCTTTGAGAGTTGGGTACACTTGGGTTAACATGATCATATGGCTTATGGAACATTTTTTTCAGGAAATAATGGTTTTGTACTTTTGTTAGCCATATTGGACATGTTTGATCTCCATGAAGTTGATCAATGTCATCTTATCATAAAGGAAGAAGCAGAAACTGTTGTTAAATAAATATGCGCACCTCATTAAAATGCCTTATAAGCACATTCTTGGTGACCCTTCCAATTCCAGAGCCACAATCTGTAAAATTGTAAAGAAAAGTAAGTTCACTAAACCAACAAGGGCTTTAACAAAGTTACTTAGTTACATTATTTTATTTAGTTACAAATACTGGTTCAGCAATCAGCACTCGAACACAACAAAAAATGTTAATTGTCCCCGCTACAGGGTATTTATGAATGCTTCTGGAAGTCAAATCATTTTTGCTCAATGGGAAACCAGATTTTGCTTGAGATACCTCTTATTGAAGTGCTACAAATGAATATAAATATAATAAGTTGGTAACGAAGTAAGAATTCCAAAACTACCAAGAGCTACGATGCGGGAAGCCGGACTTGCAGCGTCCCTCTGAGCTGGAAACCTTTCAGCCAAAATGGTAGTGAGAAATGCATTACTTGCAGCTACGTCCGCATCATTCACATTCGCATACCCGCCCAGCACTCCATCGACGGTTGCATCCACATTCTGTTCATTACCGGTGATCCTAATCGTGAGAATTGAGAACAAATATGCATATATGGAGAGGAGATCATTGAGGGAAAAGAGAAGAGAATTGCCTCCCAATAACGAATAGCAGAGCTGTACCACTGAGATTTGCTTCCATCATCTCCCGCTTCTTCTCGCCACATCTCCTCTGCATTTCTGAACTCACGCCCCTCAGAGTCGAGCCCGCCCACATCCATGTAGTAGCGATTTATGTTCCCGTCCTTGTAACAACAATTCGTTCTTACCCGATTTCTGCTTCCTAGCAGACGGTAAGAAACGCCGCCGCCGTCGCCATATCTGTATCTTTCCGGAAACAAATGCGGCAAAGCATAAGGATGTGCGGGTAGAATAAGGACGCGCGTTTACCACCCTACACCAGTCGCGGGGTAATGTGGCTTATGCGGGTAGTACAAGGAGGTTTTCTTTTGACTGTTTTCCGTCAAATACTAGAGGAGGTGAGATTAAGTGTTAAATATTTCGTAAACATATCACATCAGACTTAAATAGACTAGATCACATTAAATCATAACAAATCAAATCAGATTTGGACAGTTATAAATTACACATAGACAAGATAATTATCAAACCTACACATAGACTTTGTCTATGTTTTTTACACACTTTAAATGGTCAATTTTCAAGTTTACTACTTTTTACACGTCTATCTACCGGGCGCATTCTTGCCGTCTCATGCCTAGGCGCGTTTGAACTCCGCCTTTATTTCGACGTCTTTTAAACATTGAATAACCCATTAGCACATCACTTCAGGGGGACTCAAGATTAAGGTAAAAAATGAAGATTCCTATCTATAGTAGGCCAGTATTTTTTCAAAGTGAAAGCTAAAACCATGTAGACATACCTTTGAATTATAAGACACGATTGAGCTCATCAAGGACCTATAAATCTTCGATTCTCCCTAAAATCTTAGCTTAATTTGACATTAGAGTTACACACACACTTGGTTGAACTAGTTGCGAAGCAGTAGCACGCGCAAAAGCCCATTGTGTTATAATCAATATTCTAAAAGGCTTAGACGCTAGTTGGACGGAAGCCCAGGCGGGCGGCTAGGCGGGCGCCTAGGCGGGGACTAGTCGGAGATACATAAATTGTATTTTTATAAATACTTTTGCACAAATATGATAAATAATACATAGTATAACGCCATAACGGCATTATTGTGTTTGTGTGTGTGAAAAATATATACACACACATTAACATGCATCAATGATAGAATTATCACATGCAATAATATATGATAACTAATCACTTAATTATATCATGTTATAAATATTAAATATATATGCATATATATATAATTTTTATGGGGTTTTGCCTTGGATATTACTAAATTTTAACCAATTTCCAAAAATGTGACCATTTTTGTAGGAGGACAAAAAAGTGACTAAGAAAGTCATATTTTTGGAAAACATGAAATCACTATCAATTTTCGTGTCACTTAAGAGATGTCACTATCAATTTTGTGTCACTTAACAGATGTCACTATCGGTAAAACATGTCACTTTGCTCACCGGAAAAACTTTCCGGCGATTTTCCCGGTGAAAATTTATACATCCAAATCGTCACCCGTCACAAGACACCGCCTTTGTGGGCGAAACAGCCTACGCCCCATACCTCCAGCCCCTCTCCTTCTCCTCTCCAGTCCACAGCTCTCAGCCCCCCCCCCCCCCAGCCACAGCCTAACCCACCACCACCGCCCCGGAAACCCCACCACCACCCTTGACCTGCACCTAGCACTAAGCACCAGTTCCCCAGCACCCCTCCCCTGCTCCACTGCCCTGCTCCCCTGCCCCACCCCGGCTCTGGTTACGAACAGCCCAACTCCAACCCACCCCTTCCCAACCCTACCTTTGACACTCCAACCCCACAAGCCCTGCCCCATCCCCATCAGCCCTGCGTCACACCACCGGACCTGCCCCAGCCCCCAACCCACAGTCGTGAACCCTAGCCTCCAACCGCCATCCAACAAGCTTCGCCAGTAACCCTAGCTGCCAGCCCGTTTTCGCCGCCCTGGGATCGAAATCGAATGAGGTGCGGCGGTCGAACGATAGCGATGATGGAGGCTCTGCGGCGATGATGGTTCGGCTCTGGCGTGCGGCGATGGAGGTGCGGATCTGGCTTGCCGCGATGGAGGTGCAGCTCTGGTTGACAGAGGGGGGTGCGGCTATTTTGTGCGAAGATGGAGAAGCGGCTCTTTGCGTAGATCTATGGTCAGATCTCTATTTGCGCAGGGACAGGAAACGTGGGGGAGAGGGCCTATTAATTGGTTACTTTTTTGGAAAAAAATAAAATGGTCATATATTTGTCTTTCAAAACTCCACAACTAATACTTTTGCCATTCTTTCAATTTTTATTCTTAATGTACAAGTATCTTTCTGCATATTATACCTTTCTCGGCCTTTTGGCTATGACCAAGTGTAGTATCTGTTCTTATCAGTTTAATAATTGATATGTGGGCTATTAGTCCACACGATATTAACTCAATTTTTAAGGAGCTGAGGAATGTTCATGAAGGCAGCTTGCTATCCGGGCTTCTAACAGTGGCCTGAGCGTTGCACTATTTCTCAGGCCTGGCTCACCCCTCCTAAAAATACGGGGAAAAATCTTTCTTCATATTTGTTGTTAAAGTTACTTGTACATATATCTCTTACTTAAAAAAATTAAAAGTAAAAAAATTAGTCGGATGGCCAAGCGCTCTGGGCGGGCAACTAAGCGCCCTAGGCAGATGACTAATTCACCTAGTTGCCAAACCAATTAGTCGGGGCGCCTAGACAAAAATCGGGGCGCTCGGCCACCGCGTAGCGCCTAGGCGAGAACTAATCGGGCGCCTAGAACGATTTTTAGAACCGTGGTTATAATATAAGTTTGGTACATTAGCGGAGAAGTCCATTGTGTTATAATATTCATGCACAAAGTGGCAAAACTCCCTTCCAAGAGAAAAAGTTAATTGCTAAATAAATGAAAAATGATTAGTATTTTTTATATAATTTAGAGGCCTTGACAAATTCAATAGGAGTAACATATTCAAAACAAGTGAATAGGAGTAACATATTAAAACAAACAAACAAGTGAATTTATTCTTGGAGGGGTTTTGTGCATGCATAACTATAACACATGGGGCCTGACGCATTTCTTGAATCACAGAGGCTAATTTGCCAAATTTATATATTACAAGGGTGTTTGGTATATTAAATTATTGATCAATTAACTAACAACATCCACAGCTACGAAAGGGTGCGAAAAAATTCATGTGTTGTTTCTTCTTGTCATCGTTATATTTTGACATTCTTTGAAATTAGGCTCGACTTGAATCAAGAAGAGAGCCTTTTCTCCTTCCATCGTGTGCTTTATATGCTCATGTTGCACATGAGCTTATTCTCCTTCCATGCGCGCGTTAAAATGAGAAGTGCACCTAATATGAGAAATGAAATGAATCTGAACTGTTGGATTTAATGAAGTTGCCTTAAAATAGTTTCATTATGCATTAAAGATGTATCGTATAAAATATCTTGTTTTAAAAATAGCCCCGGATATTGTAAAGTTACCAATTCAACTATAATAATGAAACCAAAGTTTATCATGATTTAGAGTTTCATCTTAAAAACCATGAAATACAAAAGTAGCAAAAAACTTACTCCCTCTGTCCCAGACATCTCTTCCGGTTTTGACCGGTATCGCAAATTTAGGTAGTGAGAATAAAGTGAAAATGTATTGTTGTAGTTATGTAAGAAAAAGGTGAATGAATGTGAACCACATATTTTTCCAAAAGTGGAAGTTGGAAGAATTAATTGGGACGGCCTAAAAAGGAAAGTTGGAAGAAATGACCGGGACGGGGGGAATATATAATAACTCAGGGGAGCACTTTGAGTCCCTCAAATAGTATTCTCATTAGAATGTAATACCCGTATTTTTTGAGTTTGTAAATATCACCCCTCAATTGTTTGAATTGTTGTAAAAGTGATCATCGCCGTTAAATATGAACTTACACCGATAGTTTTTATAACTTCTGACACAATTAGATTTATAACTTTATATACACCCACAAAAATATTGTTTTTAAAATTCTTCCCACCAATAATATTTGTCTCTAAAGTTACATCGCGAATAAAAAAATGTCTATATATTTGTCTCTAAAGTGTTCGATAAAGACAAAAAACTTTTTCCATATGACCAAAAAAATTGTATCATTTTTGTACACAATCTCAAAATTCCTTCCATCATCACTTATTCAGTAAAAGTAGGCCACAAAAATTCTTATAGACTATAAACCTCAAGTACATATATAAAGTGTTTTTAGACAAGTTAAACATTGTATATGTTTTGTACACATTTTCAAAATCCTTCGTACTAACAACTCTTGCCTATATAATGTTAAGGTACAGACAAAAAATATCAGTCCAAAAGTTCAATTTTATAGTCAATAAATGAATGCACACGCTAAAAAATTGTTTGTGCGGGCCAAAAATGTATACTCCACAATTTTTGTGCACATTTTCAAATCACACGGTCTAACATTGTCAGTGTCAACTGTCAATAAATGTTGGCATTGAAAAAAAAGTTGAGATAGTGCCAGACATTTATTCACTATACAAAAAGTAGTGACTAATGTCGATAAATATCCTCACCTAATTTTACAAAAACGGTCTCTCTGAAAGATTTAGAAAACATTTACAAAAATTATAGATATTTTTTTTGCAATGTGGAAAATACTTTTTCAAATGTCTACTACATACAAAAACTAATTTTCGTTTGTGCAAAAAAATGTACTCCGTATATTTTGAAGTCAAATTATAAAAGTGTCAAGGATTTGAAAAATTTATAAAAAAATGTACTCCGTATATTTTTTTATAAATTTTTCAAATCCTTGACACTAACATTTTTTTGTAAAATTAGGTGACGGGAGAAAATGTTGGTGTAAAAGTTGATTTTCAAAGACAACAAATGTGTGACATTGTCTCAACCTTTTTTTAATGCCAGACATTTATTGGCACTCCTAGTGCAAGAATTTAGTTCCAAACAATATGACTTGAAAATGTGTATAAATGGTATACTATTTTTTTACACTGTCAATTTTTTTGTGTGTGCGAACATTTATTGTCCATAAAACTGATTTTTTTGAGTAAATTCTGTTATCCATCGCTTAACATTATTTAGGCAAAAATTGTTAGTAAGGGGGATTTCGAAAATGTGTATAAAATGTATACATTTTTTAACAGTTTTTGTCGGTGCCAGGCTTTTATAGTACTCCATATGTAAAATTTGATTTTTTTAATCTATAGATGATTACATTCAAGGATTGAAAAAGAAGATGAAGAACAACCATATGAATACCAGAGTCGGGAGAGTTTTGAAGAAGCGTTCGTAGGTCTAAGTAATCACTTACCAAATATGGAAAGCATATTTGGTTTATATACAAATA